AGCGAAAACAAGCTTTACTTTACTTAGCGTTAAACGATAATATAACGTTCATGTGTTTCCTCATATTCTCATCACATTTACATAACAGCGTAATCAAAAGTTAATTTGATCATGTTCCAAATTCTTTAAGATAAAATTTGGTTCTCATGCATAAAATCCATGTTAATCTGTGATATCATGGCATCATTTTAATCATTATGGTATTTACCAACCCTACTGGGGTAGGCAAGAAATATATCAAAATTGCAAAACACAGACGTAGTGGCGATAACTACAAGCTACAACTAGCGCAAACCTATGAAAAAGCTGGGTGGTGACAATGGAGGCAGCTACTGAATATAAGTTAGTACTTCCTAGTAAATCCTGCAAAAAAACTTGATCAGAACATCAAGAAAATTCCCATTCCCACCAACCGGACACAGCATCAATCTAAGAAATATTCAAGTAAATACATATTAAGAATTAATTGGCTATACCTTTGGATTTAAATGAACACAAATCCAAGGTATTAAATGCTGTTTTCCTTGTAATTGTTATTATAAAATTGTAAATATACTTTATGAACAAAAAAATAACAAAATGAACATAGACAAACTATACAAAAATAACAAATAATATGCTAGCAGGACTTGGTAATCTTTCAGAAAAAAGTGGTTAGGGCATACAGCTTGGAATCCTGAGGTCCTTAGTTCCCACTCCCACAGACTCACACTCTGGGTCCCTGAGCAAAGATCTTTAACCCCACAACGCTCCCCGGTTGCCGCACAATGGCAGCCAACTGCTCTTTAAGGGGATGGATTAAATTAAGTGAGTTAATTTCATTGTTCTGTACTTGTGACAGTTTAATGAAAATAAAAGCTGGAGGAAAAAATAGAAAAAACGCTGCATGCGACCAGAGTGGACTATAGACACATTTTTAAAAAATGTCACATGTGACCTTGCCTTTTTAATTTGGTATATTCTGAAATCTTTTTTTCTGTTAGAATAGTTCACTTAAAGCTCTGTGCCGATCAAAAGTACAAGTAATTAACCAGTTAGAGCATTAAAATACTGCATAGTTCAAAGCTTTAACCCAAAATTACTAAAGAGAACATCTGTCACTATAAGTCTTCATGTGGATTTGCTAGATGTGAACTGATGACATACAAACCATTACTTTTTCATATCTAAAATATTATTAGGGTTCCTAATTTACATGACCAGAATTTAAAATTAATTTATCTATCGATTTATATGCAGTTATTTTATATTTGCAGGAGTTAAAATAGTTAAAGTAATAAAAAAGAACAGAAGAAAAATTTGGACTCCCTCTTCCTCATGCCGGAAGTGACTCATGCAGAATCTGAAAAAACAGATAATCCAGATTTCAAGAAGAGATTACACTTCTCTTTTGTAGAGGGGTAATGATAAGGAGCGATCTCACCAGGAGACCAAACTGGTAGGTGAGATATTACCTACTGAAGAACAGGCCAGTGCTTTCAAACCCAGTTACATGGTGAAGGAAAAATAACCAGAATCAGAGACCATGTTTGCTCAAGGTCCCCAACCTGTAACTAACTGCTTTGCTTTAACTCAACAATGCAAGATGTGGATTTAATGGGGAATCTAAAAGTGTACCTGAGAAGATCATACAGCTCAGTAATTAGCTACATAAATATAACATTATGTACACTTACTACACTTAATATATTTTTCTTGTTTATGTCTTAAAAGTAATGACCCCCGAAATTCAGCTTTTTAAAATTTGAAATCAAATCTGACATCTAAAGATTTTTTTTCCCCAATATGTCATCATATGTTTTAGAAGTACGCTGCAGTATGTGGACTATATACAGTTTTTTTTTTTAGTTAATTCGATGTGGTATGGATGTGGTGTTCTATAACCCCAGGCCACTTTAGTTTCGTTGGCTTCGGTGTCTCATACTCTTTTGTCATTACCCCACAGGTTTTCAGTTGGGTTTTGGTCTGAAGAGGTTTCTGGTTGTTAAAAACTGGGAAGCTGTTGCCATTTAATCAGGTATTTGGGACTTTTGTCAGTGTGGGCAGGGGCCGAGTTTAGCTGGAAAATGAAACCAGTATATTCGTTACATTTTTCAGCAGATGGAAGTGAAATATGGCTGCTTTAACTTTGGACTTCACATAATTTGATCAACATCAGTAAATGATCGGCACCAGATCATGGCTGAAGTAAACATCACACTTAACCAAGAGCAAACTGATTTCCTTGCCTCTTACATTTTTATTCAGATTCTGACATCTTTATTTACGGAAGAAATGCCCGATTAAAATTTGCCTTAAAAGAGAATTATAGACAAAGGAGCAACAGCAAAGCCCTTTTCTCCTTGGCAGAGGTCAGAAACATCTAGCGTTGCTTCACCTAACATAGGGAACCAGACAGATGTAGCAAATTTCCTGAATATGTCTGCGATGGTGACACTTAAAGCTGTGACTCCAGCTTCAGCCTAGGCATTTTGAATGTGTGAAGCTACAGTTTCCATTGTTGCACTTTTTTCTACAACATTTAATTCCTTCCACAAATTTTCCAACTAAATGCCTTAAAGCAATCTGAAAAGCCAGGTTTATTGTTAATGGACTTCTGCAGCTTATGCTTCCTTTTGAAGGTGACTGGGACTGTAAAAGGGAAAAAGTGTCCAGTCTGCAATCTTTTCAGGATTGCAGGCCACAGATGCCAGAACAGATCTCTACTAATATTGTTTCTTGAGTAATATCAAGAATTTAAGAATTACATTTGAAGTCCTTTATAGCTGTAAGAAAATAATCAAAATGCTCAAAAAGAAATGCTAGAAAAAAAAACTCAATCTTTGTGAAATAATCTAAACTTCACCTTTTGATCTCAGTTACTAAAACAGGTTGACTTTTGCTGGCATTCTAAATTTTTGTTTAGTGAGTCCATATATGACTGCATGATTCTCTACTTTACAGGAGTAGTTATACTGTAAGATCTGTGAGCACAGCCAACAGGGAAAAAAAATAAAAAGTTTCTTTCAAATTTCATCATACTCTCCTGTGACAGAGGAAGAGAAACTGCAATATGCAATTAAATGCAGAGGAGGAGATGCAGAGATGGTGTCCGATTGTCAGGAAGTGACAAAGAAAGATGCTGTGAGAATCTGAATGTGAGAAACTCCCAGCAAGGCCTCCAGAAGAACTGTGGAGCATCATTAACACCATCATCTTCTTCACTTTCATTATTGTTACGTTTAGTCTTGTGGGGCTTTTTTTCACTCAGATAAATCCTTCACATCAATTGTCTCCATCAGCTTCATTTAAATAGCAAAAAGGCGGCACTGACCTGTTTAGCCTTACAAAACAGATGCATGATATTTTCACAGAAAGTAATAAAAGCAGAAACGGGGCCCAATTCCCCATAGTTTTGAAGACAGGGGTAGTATTTCAGCTACACTCATCAATATGCAAAACATCAGAGCATATTTTGCCACAAGAATTTTCACCACTGCACCCTCTAAAGATGTGCATAAACATCATATTTTTCCTCCTTCCTCTTAAACAAGCCTCCTTTGGCGAAGGGGAAGTATGCAAATGCTGCACAAACATAATCACATTTTGATGAAAAGCACCGGGATTCAAAGCAGCAAATTGCCCTATGTGATTTTAATACACTGCAGGCAATTGTCAAACGAAAAGAGGCAAAGAGAGAAAAACTCCAGGGCTGGAATCAATGCGCTACCTTTTATTTGCAAAGAGGTGAACAAAGTCCCAACACTGGATTACATTTCAAAGCACAGAGCCTGGAGCTTTCCAGTGTGGGAGCACAGAAAGGTGGCATAGCGTGGGAGAGAGGCATAATCATTATGACCGAACGGCAGGGTGGATGTTGGTAAAGGTATCCTCACTCTTCCACTTTCTGTGTTCCTCTCTGCCTGCAGTGTTCACTCTTCCTTCCTCTTTCTCAAGTTAGTTCCCTGGGCTGTCATTCCTGGGTTGTTAAATCCCCGCTCCTTTAATCTCCTTACTCAGCTACATCCTCTTTAAGGATGCACAACCACCAAGGAGAAACGTGGGATATGTCATCTTGGGACTGCTGCGTAGCAAGGCAGGGCAGGACATAGAGTTTGAGAGAAATACGTCGGCTAACATTGAGAAATTCTATCCTTGTCACAGAAAGTTAAAAGAAAATCAAATGTCAGTCTTTGGGTCAGTAAAATATTGTTTTATATTTATTTTACTTCTTTAATGACTTGGAGAATGCTGTGTAAAATAAAGTATATTTTTTAGTATGGCTGTTTCTAGATCTGGATTGTGTACACTGCAATGTCTCCAACCATTCATGGCTGGCTCCATCCTTTCTTTCCCAGAACCCAATTTTGACTCTTCACTCCATTTGCTTCTTTCTCTGAGGAAAAAACAGTCACTCACGGGTGAAAGAACAAGCATGTGCAAAAACAGTCACCTAATATTCAGAGCTAAAGTCATGTCAATGCAATCAAAAGCGATCCAAATTCTTCCCCACAGAGCACTGCTGTGAGGAAGCGCCCATCAGTCATCTACAAGCTGTAGCACACAGCAGTAACATTTCAATAATGGTGCATCACCTGAGACTCTGGGAGATAAGTGTAATCCACTCAAAAATAGATCACAGCTTGCCCTGCATGCCACATTCTATTCTGCATGAGGAGAAGGCTCTAATGTAGATTTCTGGGTCATCTTTCATATGCACGTATTCCTTGAAGTTCAGCTGCACAGAGTCTGATAACTTATTAGAGATTTATGTTGCATCCAGGAGCATTGTTAATGAGTTCAGTCAATTTAAGCAGGAAAACAGTTCCTAAACCCGTTTCTTTTTCCCCCCGCTACATTCCTCAACATACATTTTCTGTAAATAAACAGCAGGCAGTGCGTGGAGTTTACATACCATATCTGCAGCAACTGCACACACCAATTCCTGGCAACCTCTCATAAAGAGCATATATGTAAATAAAGAGCCCAATTTCAACGTGCAATTAGTGGTTTAGTGGTACCTGTTTCCCAGAAGTAGACAGATTTCCCATCGTCTGTCTGCGAGTAAGCCATCCAGAAACCACAGAGAAGCAATGCCACCAAAAGGTACCTGCTCCCCCCTGTCCTTTTCGCGGGGATTCCTCCTGCACCCTGCCACCCCTGCCCCATGGTCCACCACAGGAGAAAAGTAAATCCACTCAGCTCGAAAGGTCAGCAAAAGAAGCAATGATGAAAAAACAACCAAAACAAGTCCAGAAGGCGACAAGAAGAGCAGCGGGCTTCAGTTTGAAGGAGAGGGTGTGATGAGGAGTGTGGGCGTGTACAATGGGAGAAATTATAGTGAAGGGTGTGAACGATTGGTCCTGCAGGAGTTGAGCTCCAGAACTTGTGATCTTGTGAAGGACAGAGATGGCAGTTTCCTCCCTTTTTAATCGTTCTGCTCCAAACTTGGATGGATGTTCTCAAGAAATGTGGTCAGTTGTGGGGACTGAGCCACGGTCGGATGGTGCAGCCGTCCTCCTCCATCGTACCCGCTTCCACTGATGCCGGCACTGCCTCTGTCCTCTGGCTGCGGAGCAGTGACAGTGGATGAGTGTCTGCAGTGTTGTTCGCCTCCCTCCCTTCCCTTCTTACTCTCTCTCCTCCTCTCCCATTCGCTCACTTATTCCCTGTGCCACCCTGCATTTCCAATTCCAGTTTTTTCAGGGGTTTTCTGCTCCCCTCTTCTTGTTTCATCCCTTTTTTCATTGTCTCATTTTTTTCTACTCTGAAATTCAAATATGCTCACACTTCTTACTTTTTCTGTCCCTCTGTCATCTTTTTCTCTCTCTCTACTGCATACTCCTACTCTTCTGCTACCACTCGTCTTCCCACGTGCAGCGCTGAGAGGGCGACTGGAGACCAACAGGGATCGCACTGGACGGACGAGCTCCTGCAGAGCAAGGCTCCAGGGATCAGAGAGGCAACGAGACGAGATGGGCTTAATGCAGAGTGAGAGAATGTAGAGGGGGGGAGGGGGTGAATGGGGGTAAAGCAAGAAGGAGCAAAACAGAAAAGCAACGAGGGAGAGAGCTTCTCTAAAATGGAGTGGGGGTTTATTGTGCTTGAGAGAGAAGAGGTTGTGAAGAAAAAAATGATGGGGCAATGATACCAAGGACTCAGTTGTATTAAATTTATTTCACTTAAAAACTTTTAATCCAGGATTTACAGAAAATTATTCAGAAATGCATCTACAGTATTTGATATTTATTTATTAGATTATTGAAACAGAGCTGTCAGAAGAGATGGCATGTCCCATTTATTGAAGATTTAACACATCACTTCCATCTTTGGATCATTATTAACTAGCTGTTTTTTTGTACCCATGTTCAGTTGTTTGAAAAAAATCTGAAAGGCATATTCCAACAACCCATTGCATTTAGACATCTAAATTTAGAGAAAAAAACATGCTGAGGATTTACAATGGTAAAGAAGTGGAGTTAAACTGATTTAATGTGGCTTTTTTTTAAGTTAGAGGAATATTTATAATCACAGACATATTGGAATTTCAAGTTAAGCCAAAGCTCAAGTTTTATGAGTAGTTTCATATATTCAGGCTAGCTTTAATGATGTAGTGGATACAGTCAGCTATTTACACAATTTGAGAACCTAAGTAGTGATTGTTGCTTAAAAGCAACAGACCAAGTTTTGGTGCAGACCATTTCTATCCCTGTTTTGCAATTTGTCTGAAGATGCTCTCATCTGGATAATGCACAATAACACAAAGCTCAAATCACCTCATACTGGTTTCTTGAACATGTCATCAAGTTACGTGTACTGCAATGGCCTCACAGATCTCAAAGCAACAAGGCAAATCTGGAATGAGTGGAAATTTCTATCATGGATGGGCAAATTAACTCAGGAATGAAAGCAGAACAGAACTAGAGAAGTTCTTATGATAAAAAGTTATCCTAGCAAGACCAGTATAATTATTATTACTGAGCTATCCTGAAAACAAGTACTTCCAAAATAAATTTCTATCTAAATCTTTGCTCCACTTGCCTTCAACAAATGCTTTTTAATCACATGAAACCTTTCAATGAACTGGTTTCATCTACATCTCTGTTGTTAACTCGCATAGAGGGGAACAGAACGAGGGAAAAGAAGCTTAGACATAAAGATGGGTTTCCTTTTGAAGTTCTACAAAAAAAAGAAAGAAACAGAGCCATTTGTCTTTTATTACCTGACAGATGAAAGCATACACCCCAAAAAGACTACACTATTAAACTTTGCAGCTTGTGTAAGATACAAAGGTATTCAGGAGAAAAAGGTGACTTAAACCTTGTGAAAAATAAAGCTTTAAAGTGACATCAGCAGCGTACAAATAAAGCAGAGATATTCGTTTCCATGTCAGTGAGGCTGTAAGATGTTCCTTTTTTTCATATTAGTCTTATTTGCAAAAATAATTTTTCTGTCTTGCAAGATGGTAATATTTAACAAGCCATGGCAGATAGAACAGTTTATTGCTGATTTGGTTTAGCAAAGTGCAGAAGCTGCTGGATGCTGGATGCCACTTTAGAGTAGTAGCTGTGTTTATGGCAACTAAACAGACATAGGCAGTAAAATAAATGGTAGGTTTAACTGCTGCACACAGAGAGAGGTGACAATGGGAAAAGCAGCCTGCCTGTGAAGCCCATTCATTTTTTTTTTATAATAATAAAAATAAAAAAAACCCTGGTTTTACTAAATAAAAATGAGTGCATTATATACTGTGCGTTGTTGTTTCAGACTGGAAATGGAAACAAAAATCCTTGTTTGTATCCACAAGCTTACCCAATAAACTCACTCCTGAAAGTATGCCTGTGGTTTGCATATACTGTTTTCAGTCACTGAATAGGCAGTAACAACACAGCATTTAACAAAACTGTGCCATCGGAACAATGTGATGTAGTAAAAGGCAAAGTTGTTCATGGAGGACAACTTTATATCCTCGCCATTGGAACAAGGCCGACACACGATCAGCATCAACTTACAACAGTTTGGAGGTGCGCAACCTAGAGCAAAGGCTGCTCGTGTAGGGCAGGGATGGCATGATTGCATCACTTGTGGTGCTTGGACCCCCCCCCCCGCTGTGCTCAATGCAGTGAGTATAGAAAAAGCCTTAAGAGATCCTAGGAGATGCATCATGTCTTTACTCTCTTAAGTTGAATTTACTGTGGTTATTTATACCTAGTTCCTTAGGCCAAACAACCAACCAGCAACAATGTGCTGGTGAAGATTCTCAGTCATCCAGGTCATAGTCATTCCAAAAAAAAGAAGTTGAAAAAAATCCACTGGACTTTGTTTCAAATTTTGAAGACAGTTTGCTTCCCATCTAGGATGCTTTTTCCAATTCTAAATGTCAGGAAGAGTGTCGAGTTTGAGGTTTCATACAGTAGCCAATCAAAACCTTGTTTTTGTATTGAAAACATGCAAATTAAAATGGACGAAGGGGTCCACCCCTTGGGTATGGGGCATTGCAAGCTAACAAAAGAAGCCAAATGGCCCCCATTCCAATCAAAGTGTCTGAGAGGGGGGTCGTTAAAGGGAATTGTTGGTGTGGCTGAATTGGTGAGGTCCTTCGCTCTCCTGTACAGGGGCTGGGATGATAACGGGAAGGGATCAACTCAATCGCTGCATTGTAGTTTTTTGAAAGCTAAAACCTGAGCCCACCCCCTCTGTTTAAGGTTGGTTTTTCTTTCTTAACATAAATGACTTCCTTCACGCCCCTCTCAAACCACCTATTTTCTTTGTCTAAAATGTGAACATTCTGGTCCTCAACAAAATGTCTTTTGTCCGTAGGGTTTAGATGTCCCACAGAGTCTTGTCCCGAGGAGGTCGCTCTTCTGTGTTGGGCCATTCGTCTGGAGAGGTTGTTTGGTTTCTACAGTATAAAGATGAGAGCATTTCTCACAGCACTGAACTGCATACACCACTCTGCTCACATTAGGTCTGGGGGTTATGTCCTTAGGATGCACTAGTCTCGGTTTAAGGGTCTTGTTTTGTTTGAAATGTACTGGCATTTTGTTTTTGAAGAAAATCCTCTTGAGATTTTCAGAGACTCCAGCAACATATGGCCGATGCCGATGTTTTTGCATTTAATCTTCTCACCGTTATGTTCTGCTGCGTGTCTTTTCGATTTCCTTGCTGATTTGACAAACACTCAGTTTGGGTATCCGCAGGTTTGGAGAGCATCTTTGATGTGTTTCTGTTCTTTATGCTTCCCTTCTGTTTTTGTAGGGATATGCTCAGCGTGATGTTGTAAGGTTTAAAGTTTGTGTTCCAGTGGGTGGTGCGAGTAAAAAAAAAAAAAAAAGATATTGGTCTGTGTGAGTGGATTTCCTATACACTTCAATGTTGAGGTTTCCATCTCCTTCCATGCTCAAACAGTCGAGAAAAGGTAGCTTATTGTTGTTGGTAGGAAAAAACTTCCTAGATGGGAAGCGAAACCTCTTCAAAATTGGAAACAAAGTCCAGTGGATTTTTTTTAACTTCTTTTTTTGGAATAACCAGCAACAATCTTCCCTTTTCCCATGTTACTGTAGCAACAACCAATCCAACAATTGCAGCTAAGAGATTCAGCAGCCTGCCTCTAAGAAGACATCATGCAAAGAGTTGTTTGCCTTTCATTTTTTTAACCATACCTTGGCAGGTAGTTAAGTAGAAGTAGAGATTTACACTGAGGCTTACTTTAGGAGAAGTTTGCTCAAAACTTTAAACTGAATGTTTTTATCATGCGATTTTAAACTGAACACTCAGCCTTCTTCACCAACTTTAACCCTTTGAAATTAAAATATGAAATTTAGCTGACGTTTGAATAAGGGTTTACAGTACAAGAACAGCTGATACCAAAATTTATAAATTCTGCTGATCCATTTTGTCGTTTCTTCATTTTGAGAGGTCTACGTAGTATGAGTATTTTGAAAAACAATAATTGCTTGTAACAAGGAATGAATTGTGTTTAATTCCAGCATAAATAAAGGAAATGTGTTTTACAAGTGATCTTTTTCACCAAAAGCGGGTGCTAAATCATTCTGTTAACAATTAGATTTTATAGAGATATTTAATATAGTTTGATTAATTATCAATAATTACAGTCAAAGATTGAAATTGTTGACATTTACTTGTGATTAAACAAAACTAATTTCCACAACTGGTTTGGATCTCCACATTTGTTGGTAAATTGAGGTAATAACCACTGACTGGTAACATTTTGTTTATCAAAATCATTAAAGGCTGTTAGTTCTGAGAGCAGCGCTTTTCAGACCAATTGTTTATTTGCTTCTTTTATAATGCTTTTATTCCTTCTTTTTGTATTATCCTGTATCATCCACTCCACTGTTTGATTTTTACCTTTTGATTTAGTCTATGTTATGTTATACATTTTTTGAACATTAGCTCCAACTTTTTTAATTTAACATTTGTTAGAGTTTTTATAACCCCTGAGTTTTTAACCCCTGTCGATCTTTAACCCTTGTTGTAACCAATCATATGTATAACATCTTCAAAAAGGTATTTTATGCAAGTGTATTATGTGCTTTCCTCAGAAATGTTAAGTGCCGTCATACCTGTCAGTCTAATTAAAGGTTCAATCATAAAGATTTACAAATGCCCACATAATCTATGAGGTTCTGTTGAAGAGCTACAATGGTTTGTCTGTTTTAATGTTGTCTTGTTTGCATTCCTAAGTGTGAGATGAGGCTGAGGCTGCATGAGGACACTGCATTCATATGCTCCAGCTTTGGCACAGTGAACCTGTCATACAGAGTTTAAACTCAACTGTACTTGAATGTGGCAGTTAAAAGGATTCACAAATCTAGTTAGTAGTAACTTTATTGCAGACTTGACTTGTTC